CTCCATACGATGCGAGTGTTAGGTAATAATAGATGCAGACGCAGAAGATTCCTTTCAATATTTGAATTAATTCAATGGTTTTAACTTTAATCAGATCGTTGGAACCAAGTTGAATAATTATCATGACAGGAGGAGAAAAACTCTCAATTGCATGCGAGACAGTGGCATTAAGTTCATTCCACAACGTACCCCCTTTTCCAAACCAGCGTATGTACGCCCCTCTGCTTTGAAGACCAATGTTTGGGCCCCCGTATCTTGTTTTTGCATTTTTCTGTGCCCAATGTACAATTGAAGATTCGACGAATCAAGTAGATTTTGAACTAAAAGGAGGTAATATGTATTATAATATAAAAAGAAAGCAGTGTATTCATGAGCTATAATGAAAGTTAAGGACTTAGATACGATTATAGCGTAAATATGCAACAGAAGACCATCGACCGCACTGCTTGATAATATTGACAGGTTACCTACTCTGTGGTTGGACATCCTGGTACTCTGTCAAGTAAGAGCAGCCAAAAGAAGTAAAATCAAACATATAATCGGTACAATTTCGTTTCTTTTCGACATCCAATTGATGTTCTGCAATATATATATATATATATATATATATATATGTCTTTTTGATTTAATTTCCTTCAACGTACTTGCCCATTTGAATACCTTGATATCTCGTTTTAATTTAGACCAAGTTAAAACCGCCCGAATTTCTGCCAACAAAATCATTCAACAACCCACATTTCTCTGAAATAAGATCAATGAAATACACTGATATTATTTCCTGTTTGTGTAATACTTCCTCAAATCGTTGTGTTGGGTGAATGTTTAAAAACACACAAAATTCTCCTTCCATTCTGTGCATTGTAGATTTCATTGAACAGATAAGAAAAATATATGATTAAATAAATAGATTATCTAAAAAGTCATATAGTATCACACAATCTCAAATTAATGTTAAAAAGTTCATTTAAAACCAAATATTCAAACATTTTATTGACAAAGAGATTGTGGGTGCCATGTTAACCTTGCGCACGTTGCATTCTAAATATGCTGAATCAACCATTATCTGGTAATCTCAATTTTCACATCTACACCCTTTACCAAGGACAAAATTTAAGAAAATAGCACATCAGTACGTTACTACTTTAATATGTATACCACAGAAGAGGATGTCGATCAGTCTTTCGTCTTTACATTGAATAGCAACTCAATAAAATGCTGTGTTTTGTATACTGTTGTTTGTCTTTGGTCTTTTTTGTTTGCCATTGCATTGTCAGTTAATTTCGACTTATGAGTTTGAATGTCGCCTTTCTTTTTGAAGCTGTCATAAATTCAGAGTTTCTAAAACAAAATTTTGACATATTTAATCATATAGTAATCATTGTTTCATGTATGAATTACTTTTTGATGTCAAATACTTAGTACCTCTGTCAATAAAATTAAAAAAAAAAATATACCTAATGAAATATATGTATACAAGAAATACTCCTAGGTGTATACACTAATACGGGTTTAATGATTTATATTTTCTTTCACGACGTATCTAAAAACACACAGATGGCTTGATTATACTTTTCCCCATTTAAAACGACGAAGGCTACTCATGTATCATATATCATGATCTTCATAAGGAAATTGAAATATACCAACAAAGGGCGGATATAAGTACACGTGATTTTATCTAACAAAATGTAATATTAATTTGACTGCCATACTGCACATGCTGTATGTTCGTTAGATAGATTTAACCTGCTAAATAATGGGGATCGCAAAACTTTTACGATGAACATTGGATTTTAATACAGTTAGGGCCAATTTCACCCGAATCTATTTCTCACAATATAAATAAAAAAATCTGTCAATCTTGAAATAAAAGTAATTTCAGTTTTGTTTCATGTTCGCTGATAATCATCCAAATAATATACTTTCACATTTTTTTCCTTTTCGTATTTTTTTTATACAAAGGTTTTTATTTTTAGAGCCTATGATCGATATAGATGAAATGAAAGAAATAAACGAGGTAAGTTAACATAAATATGAAGTGAATGCAATGAATATATTTAGATCTACTTTATCCAAAACTAATATCGACAAGAAAACGGGTATGGGGCGTGCGGAGTGTTTAAAACACATTATACACAGTCAAAGATAACCCAAAGCTGCAATTTTGATTATATATTGACAAATTTTGAGTATATATGCAAAAATTGCAAAAGAAGGACCAAAAAGCAAGTGTCTTAAGATTTTTTTGTTAAAGCTTCAATAAACTATTAGATTGAATTTAGATATGATTATGACGGACTAGTGTTTCAGACAGTAACGTTTAGTTGCAAATAATACATGGATATCAGGACGAGAACTCCTTGACGGTTTATGTGACATGCATGACTTTAGTTTTATAAGTGATATGAATATAGACGCTGATTTGTATTATACACAAACACGCTCATCCGGTTTTTTAACGTTCTAGTTCACAGTCCGAAGAAAGATATGTCACCATATTCAGAAAATATTTTTAACTCTGAGCCAATCGGTCGATACAATTAAGTCCCGCATTGTAAATTGAGAGGCAGCACATTTTACTGATTTTAAGCTGGGAAATGTATATATGTTCCTGTTTTAAGTCGGTAGGTCTTCCTGATTTGAAGCATCATCTTCAATTGCCCAGCAGTATTTTATGGAACAGTTTTCTTAATAACGTATATATATATATATATATTTAACATGTTTCATAGCTGTTTGCCAACTTTTTGTTGTATGGTTTTTTATGTTTTATTGTTCGGTAGGAGAACTGACAATCCTTGTCAATTAATATTCGAACACACCTGCCATGTGCGGGGTTCGAAGATACAACCTTAGTGTTGATTGGCTAGCGATACAGTAGATGAACTACTCAGACCACTGGGGCACAGAGGATCCTCACAATTAAGGAGGAATAGTTTGCAGAGTGACACACTAATTTCTATCTTAAAGCCCCTCCCCCTAAAAAACCCTTAGAAAGTCCATTTTCAATTATACTTCGGGGAAAAGGCGAATTTTGTACGATGATAAGAAAGTTTCAATTTCCTCTTGAATGTTGTTTAAGTATATATCGTACCCTTTATCGGATAAGTGAGTTTCGTCAAACCTATACTAGTTCATTTCTCGAGCTCGAATATTAGATTGATGAATAATACAGTGTCCGTCCTTCAAGACATAATTGTTTATAGCAGAGTTTACTCGTTTTCGAGATCGTTTAATAGCTTTTCCATCTTTGGCACCATGCCAAAACCTTCTCATCAACATTTCGCTCCATACGATGCGAGTGTTAGGTAATAATAGATGCAGACGCAGAAGATTCCTTTCAATATTTGAATTAGTTCAATGGTTTTACTTTTATCCAATCGTTGGAACCAAGTTGGAGAATTATCATGACAGGAGGTGAAAAACTCTCAATTGCATGCGAGACAGTGGCATTAAGTTCATTCCACAACATGCCCCTTTTTCCAAACTAGCGTATGTATGCCCCTCTGCTTTGAAGACCAATGTTTGGGCCCCCGTATCTTGTTTTTGCATTTTTCTGTGCCCAATGTACAATTGAAGATTCGACGAATCAAGTAGATTTTGAACTAAAAGAAGGTAATATGTACTATAATATAAAAAGAAAGCAGTGTATTCATGAGCTATAATGAAAGTTAAGGACTTAGATACGATTATAGCGTAAATATGCAACAGAAGACCATCGACCGCACTGCTTGATAATATTGACAGGTTACCTACTCTGTGGTTGGACATCCTGGTACTCTGTCAAGTAAGAGCAGCCAAAAGAAGTTAAATCAAACATATAATCGGTACAATTTCGTTTCTTTTCGACATCCAGTTGATGTTCTGCAATATATATATATATATATATATATATGTGTGTCTTTTGGATTCAATTTTTCAACGTACTTGCCCATTTGAATACCTTGATATCTCGTTTTAATTTAGATCAATTTAAAACCGCCCGAATTTCTGCCAACAAAATCATTCAACAATCCACATTTCTCTGAAATAAGATCAATGAAATACACTGATATCATTTCCTGTTTGTGTAATACTTCCTCAAATCGTTGTGTTGGGTGAATGTTTAAAAACACACAAAATTCTCCTTCCATTCTGTGCATTGTAGATTTCATTGAACAGATAAGAAAAATAAATCATTAAATAAATAGATTAAATCGTATAATCTTGGGAAAACAATGAATTATCTAAAAAGTCATATAGTATCACACAATCTCAAATTAATGTTAAAAAGTTCATTTAAAACCAAATATTCAAACATTTTATTGACAAAGAGATTGTGGGTGCCATGTAAACCTTGCGCACGTTGCATTTTAAATATGCTGAATCAACAATAATCTGGTAATCTCAATTTTCACATCTACACCCTTTACCAAGGACAAAATTTAAGAAAATAGCACATCAGTACGTTACTACTTTAATATGTATACCACAGAAGAGGATGTCGATCAGTCTTTCGTCTTTACATTGAATAGCAACTCAATAAAATGCTGTGTTTTGTATACTGTTGTTTGTCTTTGGTCTTTTTTGTTTGCCATTGCATTGTCAGTTAATTTCGACTTATGAGTTTGAATGTCGCCTTTCTTTTTGGAGCAGTCATAAATTCAGAGTTTCTAAAACAAAATTTTGACATATTTAATCATATAGTAATCATTGTTTCATGTATGAATTACTTTTTGATGTCAAATACTTAGTACCTCTGTCAATAAAATTAAAAAAAAAAATATACCTAATGAAATATATGTATACAAGAAATACTCCTAGGTGTATACACTAATACGGGTTTAATGATTTATATTTTCTTTCACGACGTATCTAAAAACACACAGATGGCTTGATTATACTTTTCCCCATTTAAAACGACGAAGGCTACTCATGTATCATATATCATGATCTTCATAAGGAAATTGAAATATACCAACAAAGGGCGGATATAAGTACACGTGATTTTATCTAACAAAATGTAATATTAATTTGACTGCCATACTGCACATGCTGTATGTTCGTTAGATAGATTTAACCTGCTAAATAATGGGGATCGCAAAAATTTTACGATGAACATTGGATTTTAATACAGGTAGGGCCAATTTCACCCGAATCTATTTCTCACAATATAAATAAAAAAATCTGTCAATCTTGAAATAAAAGTAATTTCAGTTTTGTTTCATGTTCGCTGATAATCATCCAAATAATATACTTTCACATTTTTTTCCTTTTCGTTTTGTTTTCTTTTTTATACAAAGGTTTTTATTTTTAGAGCCTATGATCGATATAGATGAAATGAAAGAAATAAACGAGGTAAGTTAACATAAATACGAAGTGAATGCAATGAATATATTTAGATCTACTTTATCCAAAACTAATATCGACAAGAAAACGGGTATGGGGCGTGCGGAGTGTTTAAAACACATTATACACAGTCAAAGATAACCCAAAGCTGCAATTTTGATTATATATTGACAAATTTATAGTATATATGCAAAAATTGCAAAAGAAGGACCAAAAAGCAAGTGTCTTAAGATTTTTTTGTTAACGCTTCAATAAACTATTAGATTGAATTTAGATATGATTATGACGGACTAGTGTTTCAGACAGTAACGTTTAGTTGCAAATAATACATGGATATCAGGACGAGAACTCCTTGACGGTTTATGTGACATGCATGACTTTAGTTTTATAAGTGATATGAATATAGACGCTGATTTGTATTATACACAAAAACGCTCATCCGGTTTTTTAACGTTCTAGTTCACAGTCCGAAGAAAGATATGTCACCATATTCAGAAAATAATTTTAACTCTGAGCCAATCGGTCGATACAATTAAGTCTCGCATTGTAAATTGAGAGGCAGCACATTTTACTAATTTTAAGCTGGGAACAGTATATATGTTCCTGTTTTAAGTCGGTAGGTCTTCCTGATTTGAAGCATCATCTTCAATTGCCAAGCAGTATTTTATGGAACAGTTTTCTTAATAACGTATATATATATATATATATATATATTTAACATGTTTTATAGCTGTTTGCCAACTTTTTGTTGTATGGTTTTTTATGTTTTATTGTTCGGTAGGAGAACTGACAATCCTTGTCAATTAATATTCGAACACACCTGCCATGTGCGGGGTTCGAAGATACAACCTTAGTGTTGATTGGCTAGCGATACAGTAGATGAACTAATCAGACCACTGGGGCACAGAGGGTCCTAACAATTAAGGAGGAATAATTTGCAGAGTGACACACTAATTTCTATCTTAAAGCCCCTCCCCCTAAAAAACCCGTAGAAAGTCCATTTTCAATTATACTTCGGGGAAAAAGCGAATTTTTTACGATGATAGGAAAGTTTCAATTCCCCCTTGAATGGTGTTTTTAAGTATATATCGTACCCTTTATCGGATAAGTGAGTTTCGTCAAACCTATACAAATTCATTTCTCGAGCTCGAATATTAGATTGATGAATAATACAGTGTCCGTCCTTCAAGACATAATTGTTTATAGCAGAGTTTACTCGTTTTCGATATCGTTTAATAGCTTTTCCATCTTTTGCACCAAGCCAAAACCTTCTCATCAACATTTCGCTCCATACGATGCGAGTGTTAGGTAATAATAGATGCAGACGCAGAAGATTCCTTTCAATATTTGAATTAATTCAATGGTTTTAACTTTTATCCGATCGTTGGAACCAAGTTGGAGAATTATCATGACAGGAGGTGAAAAACTCTCAATTGCATGCGAGACAGTGGCATTAAGTTCATTCCACAACATGCCCCTTTTTCCAAACTAGCGTATGTATGCTCCTCTGCTTTGAAGACCAATGTTTGGGCCCCCGTATCTTGTTTTTGCATTTTTCTGTGCCCAATGTACAATTGAAGATTCGACGAATCAAGTAGATTTTGAACTAAAAGGAGGTAATATGTATTATAATATAAAAAGAAAGCAGTGTATTCATGAGCTATAATGAAAGTTAAGGACTTAGATACGATTATAGCGTAAATATGCAACAGAAGACCATCGACCGCACTGCTTGATAATATTGACAGGTTACCTACTCTGTGGTTGGACATCCTGGTACTCTGTCAAGTAAGAGCAGCCAAAAGAAGTAAAATCAAACATATAATCGGTACAATTTCGTTTCTTTTCGACATCCAGTTGATGTTCTGCAATAAATATATATATATATGTCTTTTTGATTTAATTTCCTTCAACGTACTTGCCCATTTGAATACCTTGATATCTCGTTTTAATTTAGACCAATTTAAAACCGCCCGAATTTCTGCCAACAAAATCATTCAACAACCCACATTTCTCTGAAATAAGATCAATGAAATACACTGATATCATTTCCTGTTTGTGTAATACTTCCTCAAATCGTTGTGTTGGGTGAATGTTTAAAAACACACAAAATTCTCCTTCCATTCTGTGCATTGTAGATTTCATTGAACAGATAAGAAAAATATATCATTAAATAAATAGATTAAATCGTAGAATCTTGGGAAAACAATGAATTATCTAAAAAGTCATATAGTATCACACAATCTCAAATTAATGTTAAAAAGTTCATTTAAAACCAAATATTCAAACAATTTATTGACAAAGAGATTGTGGGTGCCATGTTAACCTTGCGCACGTTGCATTTTAAATATGCTGAATCAACAATAATCTGGTAATCTCAATTTTCACATCTACACCCTTTACCAAGGACAAAATTTAAGAAAATAGCACATCAGTACGTTACTACTTTAATATGTATACCACAGAAGAGGATGTCGATCAGTCTTTCGTCTTTACATTGAATAGCAACTCAATAAAATGCTGTGTTTTGTATACTGTTGTTTGTCTTTTGTTTTTTTTTGTTTGCCATTGCATTGTCAGTTAATTTCGACTTATGAGTTTGAATGTCGCCTTTCTTCTTGAAGCAGTCATAAATTTAGAGTTTCTAAAACAAAATTTTGACATATTTAATCATATAGTAATCATTGTTTCATGTATGAATTACTTTTTGATGTCAAATACTTAGTACCTCTGTCAATAAAATAAAAAAAAAAATTATACCTAATGAAATATATGTATACAAGAAATACTCCTAGGTGTATACACTAATACGGGTTTAATGATTTATATTTTCTTTCACGACGTATCTAAAACACACAGATTGCTTGATTGTACTTTTCCCTATTTAAAACGACAAATGCTACTTATGTATCATATATCATGATCTTCATTAAGAAATTGAAATATACCAACAAAGGGCGGATATAAGGGGGGGGGGGGGAGGGGGGGGGGAGGTAGGACCTTTATCGGGACTCCGGGATCGGGTGTTTTTAAGTTCGGGATTTCGGGATTGATCCTTTCGGGATCCAGGAATTCTTTTTTCGAATTTCGGGATGTAGGGATTTAAATTTTTTTAAATTCGGGACCTCGGGATTCCATGTTTTTAAGCCCGGGATTTCGGGATGAGGACCCCTCCTACCCCTACCCCCCTCCCCCCCCCCATATAAGTACACGTGATTTTATCTAACAAAATGTAATATTAATTTGACTGCCATACTGCACATGCTGTATGTTCGTTAGATAGATTTAACCTGCTTAATAATGGGGATCGCAAAACTTTTACGATGAACATTGGATTTTAATACAGGTAGGGCCAATTTCACCCGAATCTATTTCTCACAATATAAATAAAAAATCTGTCAATCTTGAAATAAAAGTAATTTCAGTTTTGTTTCATGTTCGCTGATAATCATCCAAATAATATACTTTCACATTTTTTTCCTTTTCGTATTTTTTTTATACAAAGGTTTTTATTTTTAGAGCCTATGATCGATATAGATGAAATGAAAGAAATAAACGAGGTAAGTTAACATAAATACGAAGTGAATGCAATGAATATATTTAGATCTACTTTATCCAAAACTAATATCGACAAGAAAACGGGTATGGGGCGTGCAGAGTGTTTAAAACTAAGTGAGTGTCTGTTGTTATATCTTAATATTACATGAAAGTAATACCAGGAATAACCAAAATTATACTGGAAAGTATCGCAGACCACATCAACTCCAATCACTGGACTCCTCCGAAAAAATACACGTTTAAACAAAGACAACAACGAACATCGCATGGTGATGATTACCTGTATTGGTATTGGCACAACAAGTGGAGGGAATTAATTATTCAGTTTTACGTGCGCAAATACCTCCTCTGTTACTACAGGAAACTAGATAGGTTTGTTGGATGCCCCCTTTTTAATAACTGGTTCCACACCTGCGCATTTATAACATAGAGTACAAGAACAATAGTTATGTCAGATCTGCGTTTTATATGTGTCCAAAATGTGTCAGTAGGTCAGACTGGTACCTATCTTATTTCTTTAGTAACATTCCAGTTTCCCCTTCCTATTCTCGAGTTTTGTGAAGGTTCATGTAATAGTTATACACTCGGGTACTCGGAGGTGTTTCTTATCCAGACACGCCGTATCCCGAGGTGTATAACTAACTTACACCCAATGCTAAACCCTATATTTGTTAACATTGATTATTAAATGAAAAAGATAGCATATTTATTGACAAAATCGAACCATGATTTATAAGAAAAACATTTTTTTTTCAATGAAAGCCCACTAGTAACCTTACTTTGACGATCTTCATTCAAACTTTGACAAGTGAGTAGATTTTACAAATGTCAAAGTTGCTGTTTTGCATGCATATTCCCGTTAAATCCTGGTGCTAATATGAATCAGCAGTTCAAGGTTGACCGTTTCGTGCATTCATGCTCCATGTATGAGGTTGTCAATATGGACGGGTATAAAACGGACGACATTTTGAGTCAAGCGTTTGATTTGGTAGAAGAGTCTAAAGATAAAGGCAATATTATAACCCAAAGTACTTACCTGTATCAGTTTAATGAAGGTAATCATAAATGTATTTGTTATGTTACGGTTTTATATACCCCCCCCCCCCCCCTTTTCTCGAGAATAAACAAACATTCATATTCGGACACACTGAGGGATAGGTGTGTCTGGATTAGAAACCCGACGACCTAGATCCGGGAGGGGGGGGGGGGGGGGTCCGGGAGTTAGAATCCCTGTTTTTTTTAAAGATCAATGCTTTAGAATAGAGACATATGACTGGGATAAAAAATGTAATGGTGCGTTCACACGTAATTCGATTTCGATTCGCATTAACTAATTCGAATTAGTTTAATTCGCATTCGAAACGTTTAACGTCCAAACGTAAATTCTAATTCGAATTGCAATGCGCGTCAAATTCGCTTTACTGTCCTAAAGACGTTAACTTTTAATTCGTATTAACAAAAACGCATTTCTAATGCGAATTGGATAATGCGATTTAGCTAATTCGAATTAAAAAAGAAGAGTGTGTGAACGCGATTCGAATCGAATGCGAATCGAATTCGCTAATCGCGTTCACACACTCTTCTTTTTTAATTCGAATTAGCTAAATCGCATTATCCAATTCGCATTAGAAATGCGTTTTTGTTAATACGAATTAAAAGTTAACGCCGTTAGGACAGTAAAGCGAATTTGACGCGCATTGCAATTCGAATAAGAATTTACGTTTGGACGTTTAACGTTTCGAATGCGAATTAAACTAATTCGAATTAGTTAATGCGGATCGAATTCGAATTACGTGTGAACGCAGCATGAATGTACGTGTAAACGAGGCATTACCTTCAAGCAAAGGAGTATTTAGGGAGCAACCATTTTAACTTCAAGGGGGTGGGGGGTTGGGGGGGGTATGGTTTTTTGTCGGAGTCAGACATTTTTTTCTCGCAGATCGCGAACAATTTTATTTAGTTTTTCAACGCTATCAATCAAATTATTTTTCCCTTAACGGATTTTTTTTTTATTTATAATAGATGCTTAATATTTTTTTCGCTATTGGAATTTCCTAAAATGTGTTTTTTAATATCTTGAAACATCTTGTAGTGAACACTATTAGTAATTTCTTATGTTCATGCTATTTAAAAAATAATCAATTTCTATTGTAATGAATAACAATGGACTGTGTTTTCAGGATGTAGAAGCATTGATTTCCAGAAACCCCGCTCGCCACACCCTGTGATCAAAATCCATTGTTATTCGTAACAATAGATCTTTTCAATATACACTTGTTTCAGAAATAGAAACTATGAAGTATAACAATAGAACTGGGGTGTAACATCATATATCCATGAACGTATGATGAAAACAACAGCTTGTTGTTGACGTTTTGTTTTAAGGAAGACAAAACATAGCAATTGTTCTGTTAAACTTTCTGTTATTTTGTTATTACTAACATGAAACGATTCGGTACTATTTGTTGAAAGTGTGCTGTTTGTTCGGCTACACTGCTCCAATTGATTGTGAAAATCGCAAGTCACTGCATGGTGTCAAATTAGTCACCAACTATGTAAGAAGTCCCCATTTGAGTTTCATGGAATAGAGAAAGGAAACGGGAAATGTGTCAAAGAGACAACAACCCGACAAAAGAGTAGAAAACAGCCTAAAATATTCTACAAAAGGAACTTAAACGTCAGTATATGGAAGGAATAACAATCCAAAAAACCCTTTTACTCCTACTTTTCATGTATTATCCTTGAATTCGAAAGATTCTGCAAATGGCTAAATCATTTGCCATACTGCTTGCTCCAAGTCAAAACAAATAAAAAAAATCAATTGACGACGACCATAACTCTTTCTACAATGTTAGCATGCACAGCAAGGAGGGTATTCGTAAAGAAGTCTGTTCGTTTTAACAATCTATTTTGTTATTCACAAATTACCATAAACAAAGTTGGCACAGTTTTTTGGACTACCAAGGGGGACGAGGGTTACTTTTGAACACCTTTTGGGGATATTTTTTTGGGGGTTGTTCTTTGGTTTTGATTTGGAAAAAAGTCAGCTTTCCGCTCGGGTAAGAACATAAGGCTAGCAAAATATTTTTTTCGTTTTTCATTCTAAAATTCATGAACTGCATTTTATAAATTAAAAATAATCAGAGCAGCACTTCAAACACCCAACTGTATGAACTCATGTCAGGATATTCACTGTAAGAAGGAAAACAGTTTCATTTTGAACATAATTCATTAGAAAAAAAGTAATTAGTTCACAATTTTGTAGTACTTTGTCGAATTTATTAGTCTGTCAGTTCTTAGCCTTTATCTAGTTTGAGATATCAATTTTGGGTTATGTATGCATGTATTTATTTTCTGAATTTGTTGATATATGCTGTTGTCGTTTGTTGATGTGGTTCATAAGTGTTTCTCGTTTCTCGTTTTTTATATAGATTAGACCGTTGGTTTTTCCGTTTGAATGGTTTTACACTAGTCATTTTTGGAGCCCTTTATAGCTTGCTGTTCGGTGTGAGCCAAGGCGCCGTGTTAAAGACCGTACTGTGACCTATAATGGTTTAATTATATAAATTTTGACTTGGATGGAGAGTTGTTCCATTGGCACTCATACCACATCTTCTTATATCTATATATTATGTTGAAATAGATACATATTTGCAGTTAATAAAAGTGGTACCAAGTCAGTTTATGTTATTTGCCATTAAGTAAATCTGGTATATGCTTAGTCCACTGTCACAGTGACAGGATCTTAAACTTGTACTCAAATAAGAGTGTCTGGATGGGTAGTCTGATCCAAAAGCGTACAGGGTAAATAAGTTCCAACTCCTTTAACCGATTGTGATTCGGCTTTGCCAGTATACACTGTATATGATACGTGAAATGAAAATTACAAAAATTGACAGGGTGACAGCATGGACAGGGTCGACATTTTGAAAGGGTTGATGCAGTCGAACAGTTGATAGGGGTCGACTGGTTGATAGGATTGACAAGGTCGACAGGGATGACATGGGTGATATAGTTTTCAAAGATCGGCAGATTGATTTGACTGACAAAAAGAAAGTGTAGAAAGGTTAAGCAAGGAATTGAAAAACCTTTCTTTACTGTCTTTTTGTTGGTCCTATCAATCTGTCGATCTTTGAACACTATATCACTCATGTCATCCCTGTCGACCTTGTCAACCCTGTCAACCATGTAAACTCAACATGTCAACCCTATTAACCTGTTGAACCTAAATGTGTTGTTTGATTTGAGAAGCATAAGTTGATCACACCAACCTTGCAGTCAGTTGATGCATGCACAATGTAAACCCTTTCATTCTTGTCAAACATGTCTACCCTTGTAAACTGTGTCACCCAGTCAACCCTATCGACACAGTCTACCCAGTCTACACTGTCAACCTGTCAAACCGTCGACCCTGTCAACCTGTTTTATTTCTAAGTAATTTTTCTCAATTCTTATCCATTTTACCCATCATTATCTATCCCTTATATTTCAGCACCTTATTATTCTCAAATATGTTGTATTTATGGCCTATTTTACTCTAATCATTAATCTCATTACCCTTTTTTGCACTTTCTGTCCTTTATACTCTATTCTTCAAATCCCATTCAGACCCTCGTTTACGACCCAAAATTTCTGGAAACAAAATCATTAGAAAAACTGCATTTCTCTGAAAGAAGATGAATAAAATAAACATGCACGTGATATCATTTCCTGTTTGTGTAATATTTCTTCAAATCATTGTCATAAATGATAAAAAATGTTACGATTCGCTATGCCTGAAATTTCAAAGACACAAAAATCTCCACTGCCATTCTGTGCATATTAGTTTTCAATAGAAAGGTAAGACAAATATATCATTATAAACATTGGAGATTGTAGAAATTTGAGGAAAACAGTGAACTAACATCGAACAAAGTTTTATAGTTTTACATAATATCAAATCTATATCAATATGTTCGATTTGAATCAAATATTCAATCATTTAAGGTGGTACCCAACACCTTGACTAATATTAATTTGGCTCGTTTAATTTTCATAAAATTTTGACAAAATGTTTACTTTGACCCTTTGACAAAAATATAAAAATTTCAAAAAATTTGAACCAACAACTTTATCAGAAAAATTTCGTTGGTTATATAGCAGTTTGACAAACACTAATGTTGATCATTGAGAAGCTTAATATTTCCTTAACAATACAACGTAATTAAAACGTTTAGCTGATTTTTACAGAGTTATCTCCCTGTAGTGTTAGGTTCCACCTTAAGTGATAAGGAGATTCTTGAGCACCTTGCATGCTAAACATGTTTAAAGAACTTGGAATCAAACAATAATCCAGCAATCTCAATTTTTACATCTAAATCCTTCAAGAAAATCATAAATCTGTACTTTTCTCTTTTAGTATGTATACAACAGAATATGATATCGGTCTTTCGTCTTTATATTTAATACAAACACAAGAATACTTTTAATAACTAAACGGCACGTAATTTGGAATATCGTAACTATAGGAACCCAGCTAATATTGGTTGAATCCTGCCCCTCAAGGAAACAAAAAATTAGAAAACAAACCATTTACAGGATTCACTAAGTCTCATCATAAGATTTAATTGAAATCGACAGTATATTGTATGTCCGTTAGTTTTGATAGCAGAACCTTGCACATTTGATTGACTATTTGTGTTTAAGAACAGGATAATGGACTGTTGTCCTTTCCCGTCACTTGACAAGATACTTGAAGCGCTTTTCTTCTTTATATGACTGTGTCATGGCACTTTGTAGGTAGCCCTTTATCTGTACAATTCTAGTAAAATAGTTTAGAAAGATCAATTAAGGTGGTACCTAACACCTTGACTAATATAAATTTGGCTCGTTTAATTTTCATAAAATTTTGACAAAATGTTTACTTTGACCCTTTGACAAAAATATAAAAATTTCAAAAAATTTGAACCAACCACTTTATCAGAAAAATTTCGTTGGTTATATAGCAGTTTGACAAACACTAATTTTGATCATTGAGAAGCTTAATATTTCCTTAACAATACAACGTGATTAAAACGTTAAGTTGATTTTTACAGAGTTATCTCCCTGTAGTGTTAGGTACCACCTTAAGGGATGATCATATGATATTCTTGGGGAAAGAGTTTGGAAATAAATATTCTGGCATGGTTATAACTGAAAATAATTAATTTGACCAAGACAGGATGACAATGGATCTTCTGGCTAATGAAATGACAATGCAAATAAAAGTTGTGTACAGGAATGTAAATATATGTTTTTTTCGCGTAATAAATAAAAAATGAAAACGAATATTTCATTCGGACAAACCCCCTTGGGATCAAATGGTCGTCCGCTGAACACTTATTTTAGTAACCTCTTTCATATAATTTCGTACGTAATAAGTGTTATTCACATTGTATTCAAGTATGCTGACAAGTAACATGAATAAATATTAAATATACTTATTATATCTAAAGTGCATCCATACAAGCAAGAAATAAAAGAAAGTCGTATACAATATTACGTGTTTAATAGTTTATAGTGTATTTCATAACAAATTCAAAAGACAACCAGAATACATGATTTTATATTTTTTTTCCCGAACTTCATTTTTACACAACAATCCTATAACATGAACAGCTGTACTTTAAGAAGTAAAATGGTACTTGTTTGCACTGAATTATAATGTACATTGATTTTTCATTAGGAAATAGAAACAAAGTTATTTTTAATTTATTAGTAAGCATGATTTTATCAATACTAAAACTGTCTGATTGTACATTTCTCAGATATATCAAACTGCTAATAATAAATCGACAGAGAAAAAATAGATAACCATAACGACAACCATTACATTTTTAATCAGCTAGGGCTCCCTGAATCTTGTTTTCACTTTGATCATTTTTAAAAAGACTGTAAAAATATCGATACAGTTTTATTTCATGTTCCCAGAATTATAGCCTTCTCATATTGTTTTCATTTCCGTGTACTAGTATTCTTTACAAGTATACTTATTTTACAGCCTTCAATAGAGATGAAATGGAATAAATAAATAATATAAGTTAACATGAACACGAAGTGAAAATCAAGAATAAATTTATGTCTTACTTTAGTTCTAAAAAGAAAGAGGCAATAAATGTGGGGTGCAGGGATTAGTACTCAAATAACTAGTTTGATCTCATCTTAATAATGTGTATAAGTGCCCCAAAGTATAAACCCTTTGAGTGAATGCTTTTGTTATATCTTAATAATACAGGAAAATAATAACAGACATGACCAAAAATATTGGACAGCAAACAGACCACAGCTAGCCCCAACATTTGAAAACTCCGAAAATTAAGACAGTATTGGTACTGACAAAAATAAAGTGGTATTAAAAGTAAAGTAACCTTTTCGGTAAGGCCTTTGCTCATGACAAATAAAACAAAGATGTATGAACTAGGTTTTGTGGTCGAATTCGTCTACACGTGTATGACCTCACAGTGATGCCAATACTGCCGTTTTCTGAATTAGAGGTTCTAGATTATCTTACCCTATTCATGTATCAGTAGAAATAACATAATTTGGAAAGTAAACAAGAATTTTATCATTTTTGCATTTCAGGTATCAAATACTAGTAATGGCTGTGATCACTTGTTGCTACAATTTTTTTTTGCTCTTGTCATGTTTCTGCACAAGACAAATAACGGATTATTTTGCCTTGTTCTCAACGGGAGAGTTCTGGAATCGTTATTGTTTCAATGTGGAGATTAAAAAGTCGAATCAGGTGATATTTTTTATGCGAACTAGGCCAATGTTTTGATTTAATTAGATTTCAACCTAAAAAAAAGTGGACCACGCTGTTCTAGTTTGATCTCCGCTACCTACTGTAAGGTGATATCATCAATAATTTGATGATTTTATGCAGAAAACTGATCCCAACCCTGCATTGATTTCTGACATTATCGCGTGACGTTTATCGGGCACGTTAACACGGACTATCTCGGAACTACAGTCAGTTTGTCTAAAGCCAGTCCCCCTATCCAATTGCTTTTTGTACCCAAGTGGACAGTTGGGGCTGGCTTAAGTCCGACTGAACCACAGTATGATGTCATACGCGCTCATAACAACAATGGCGGACGAGGAAGATGTTAGTTTTGTCAAAGATGTTAGTTTTGTCAACTACAATTATATACTAGTAATACACTTTTACGATTTTTATCATTCCCGTGTATTCTATTCAAATATTAATATTTTTACAGCCTAGGATATAGTCGAAATGGAAAAAATAGACGAGGTAAGTTTACATAAATACGAAGTGAATACTATGCCCATATTTATATCTTACTTTACCCAAATATGATAGAGACTAGAAGGGAAGGGAGGGTTTAGTACTCAAATAACTATTTTAATCCACCCACATGTCAGTAATTTGGATGAGTGTTCTAAGTTATAAACCCTAGCAGTGAGTCGCTTTTGTTATATCTTTATAAAACATGAACATCATAACAGGAATTGGACGATCAAACAAACAACGGACAAACAACAACACACAGTACATGGTCAAGATGACCTGCATCGATGTAGGCACAACATGCGTTGGGATTAAATTAATATTACATGCGCAAAAACCTCCCCGTTTCCTGTCTAGACAATATGTCGAAAAACTAAAGCACGCAATAAAAAACCTTCACAGTGCAGGTTTCAATGGATTACCACGATAACTTAAACAAGGAAATGATAAAGGCACACTATTTAGAAAACGGGGTCAAAATGATCTCGCTACTACAGCTAGTTAAGGTTGATACTGCCGCACAAAAGAAAAAAAAAAAACATAAACAACACTCTTTACAGGTTTTATGAAGTCTCATCATAAAATTTGATTGAAATCGACAGTATTTGTGAATGGTGTTGATAGCAGATATTTGTGTTGTGAGAAGCTTGCACTTTTAATAGGCAATTTGCGTTTAAGAAACTGGGCTTTTGTATTTTTTCAACGTTACATATTGTTATTCTTATTCCGGAAATGAGATATGCAGCCTAGCTCTGGCGATGATGATGTATATATACACTTAAAACACACTAACAATATATATTTCGGATCTGCTTTATACATGTGACCGAAATGTGTCAGCTGTTTAGACCGTTATCCATCTTATTTCTAAAATAAAAAAATCCAGTTTATCCCTTCTTACTCTCGATTTATGGTGAGGATGTATCAGTATATCTACATATCCTCGTTGTTCACGGGTGGCTTTTAGGAAGACAAAAGATAGGAAGATTTTTGTTAAACTCTTATTTATTTCGTTAGTATGAGCAGGAAACGATTCCGTCAGGACTTTTTGTTTAAAATATTTGTGCATTTGGCTACACTGCCCAAAGTGTTGGTGAAAATCGCAAGTCCCTGGTGTCTATATGATCACCAATTATAGAACCAAGAAACCGTGTTAGGAATTTAAGCCTGCAATATTCTACGAAAGAAACTTAAACGTCAATATAAGAAGAAATTACAATCCAAAAAATCAATGAAACAATTTCCCTGCTTTTCATATTCTCTCCATGTGTTCTAAAGATGGTTCAAATGACCGAATCGTTTTCCATAATGTTGCTCCAAGTGAACAATTAATATAACCTATTGAAAACAACGCTATCCCTATCTTCAATATCAGCATGAACATCAAGAATTTATTTTAAAAGAAGTCTTTTCCTTCTTCACAAATTACTTTTAACCTCTGATACAACGTTGGAATAGTTCTTCGAACTTCCGGGGGGGGGGGGGGGGGGAGGATCTTTTTGAATACCCTTAATGAATGGACGTGTTTATTAAAAATGGGTTGTTCTTTGATGTTGGATGAAATAAAGACATCTTTCTTTTTTAAATAAGAACATAAAGCTAGTGAAATGCATTTTCCATTCTGAAATACATTAACTGTATTTTGCAGATTGATAAAATAAGTTCAGCATGTGTATTCCTTTTCTGTAAATTCACTGTTGATTAAATGTTGATTAATCTGAAACACTTGGTTTTTCTACCCCCAGACATAGATTGCCTTAACGTTATGTGGTACAACTTTTTCTGACTTTTCGATTTGTAATGCTGTTCAACGTATTTGATTCAACCTAACTTTTTTGATTTGAACGTCACGGATGAGTTTTATGTATACAAAACGCCTGGCGTACCAAATCATAAGTCTGGTATCTTTGATGAATGTCTCAACCGTATGTTTTCCTCGACTTAGCGTATTTACTATAAATGTTGTAGAAAAGGAAAAAAATCCATTTTGCAACATCATTCATTTGAAGAAAGTTTTAATTCTAATTTATGGTACGGTCCGAAAAAATTCTTAATAAGAATACTTTGAATTTCTTTCCTTGATTTTGGTAAATGAGTTTAAAATTTTCTTCTGACTTTGTATATAGTCTGTCGCGCAGACTTTACATCCTTGTAAAAAATCTTTGTCAAATTAAAGGCACAAATGGGCATTATTATTGGGGCACACATATCGTGGGTTACACGCAAAATTAAAATGTGCAAATGTCCATTTAACATCGTAATAGCTGTTACATTTAATTACAACATGGCTAGATTGGGAGGGGGATAAAGAGTTTGATATATTGTCCATGTTTGAAGATTGGATATCAAATCTTTTCATTGACGTGTACCCAACATAGTTTATATTCATATCTATACAAGAAAAATCTTATTAAGTGGAAATGAGAATTACTAAATTTTTTGAAGTCCCAGGATGACCATGACCATGGAATGGTTAACGATTCATACCGAATTTAGTAATCAATAGACGCCCCCTTCCATACACCCACATGAACACTTCTAGCTTTTTCAGTTGAAATGAACCATACTCGCCAAACAGATAATAGGAAAAAATATTTTTTAAGATAATAAGAGACAAAATATATTATGTTGAAGTAAAAAAACAAGGAAATATTTTACTATAAATCTTTCTACGTCCAAGTTCTTTGTTAACTAACGACTATTTGTTTTATCTCTCAGATACTTCTTTATGCTGCAAAAGACGGGAGACTGTATGACGTCATTCTGTGTTTAAAGTACCGAGCTGATATAAACTGTCAAGATATGGTAATTTTATATATTTTGAGGTCAAAATGACGTACTTGAAGTATCCTAAATCGTTTTTATGATTTTGATATGTTGTATATCTTTTAGCACTGATCTATATGGGTTAGGACGGGGTTTACAGAATAGTGATTTATGGGCCAATACAACAGAAAAAATAGGCAAGCAAAAATACGAAAAGAGAAAAACAGGCTAAAAAAGTAAAAAATAGAGAATAATGGGGTGATAAACTATAAAAGCATCGTGAAAAATGGGTAAAAATATAAATTATACAGAAAAGGATCGTAACGCCTTACTCATGTCAGATCTGGCCATGTGAATGGGTCTATACACACGCATGAGTAAGCCCCTAACTCAACCCTAATCTTTGGAGGTCAATATCGAAAACTTAAATTTCGGAAATAGAGCGAATTTTGTCAAATAATGATAGAAAGGTTTCCATTCCTCCCTTGCATGTTGTAAATATATATCGTATCCCATAACAGACACGTGGGTTTTATCAAATCTATACAACTTATTTTTCGAGCTCGTATATTTGAATGATGAATAAAACGGTGTCCATCCATGATGATCTTATTGTGTATAGCACGGTTAACACGTTTTCGAGTTTGTTCAATAGCTTTTCATTCTCGTGCTAAATGCCAATATATTCTCTTTAAAATTTCTCTCTACACGATACGAGTGTAAGGAAATAATAACTTCAGACACAAATCGAAGATCCGTTTCAATGGTTTAAATTAAAACAATGACTTTTACTTTACCCAAATTTAAGGAACCTAGTCGAATGATTATGCCAATTAAGAAACATATAAATAATTTATTTGATCCATTTACGCATGAGAAGCGAACATGTAAGAAAGATTGTAATAGATGAATTGAACAAATGGCCGTGATAGATTGCCTCTGAGGGATCAGGGTAACAGAAATATGCTTTTGATCGGTTTTAGTACTGCATATTTTGACATGCAATTCTGTTTGACCATTTCTCCGAGAAAAGGTCTTATCTTTATAATTAAACGTATGTCCGCATTCATCAGTACGACTGTTTATAACTATCTCGCTTACCCGTAACATCGCAAAACAAGCAAGAGAAAATACAGAAGAAAGAACACAGTTTCATAATGAGCATACCCTGCGTAATATGTTAATTAAACGTTTTAACATGTTGAACGATATTGGCGTTCGAACATCTATTTTTGAGGGATTTTTCCTTTGTAAGTCTTCCATAATTTTGCAAATAATGAAAGATTTCGTGTTGTTTGCCATATCATGAATCTAATGTGTTTAGGTCAGGCCAGAAATGTAAGTAGAAACCGTAGACTCAGATCACACTTGATATGACAGATATCATATAAACCTATAAATTGGGCAAATAACAAAATAAAACCTTTTTGAAGGATTATTCTGCTATTTTAAAAGTTTTCCAAGAGTTTGAAGTCATCGACCATTTAAGAAAAAGGTCTGTTTCGTGTCGTAAGCTTTCGAGAGTCGGGTCGGGATCACACATGGGCTTGGATATGCTGTGGGGTATAGTTTCCGGAACTTCGGAAAATCAAAACGAGACAGGGAGTCAGCTAGAGAATTCAAATGACCTGATATATGCTCGGCTTTAAGTAATATGCTAATTTACACGAAAGTCAAAACAAGCTTTCTGACCAGGGGCAGAACTGTAGATGACTTTGGCGTTTTTTTTTTTATATTAATTATGGAAACCAAATCCTCATTAATAAATATATGAAATACAAACTTTTTTTTTAAATAGCACTTTAACTATAGGGAATAATTCTAGAAAGGCGACGTTAGTTAAATTCCAGTAAGTACCCAATTACGAGGCCAACACGTCTGGGTCCATTCCCCTTCAAACTAAATTCCAAAACATTTTTTGCTACCATGTGCACTATCGGTAAACAATTCAAAATCGGAATTAGATGCACAGAACTTGTCAAGAATTACGATGGTATTGTAACTCGATAGAAAGAGTAACAATATTTTAAGATCTTCTTTCATATTTCTTTTTACTGTAGTTCTGTGATTGGGCATACGAAAATATTTTTAAACACAAGTTTGTTTTTTTTTTCTGTTTAAACAATGATAGCGATATAAAGTGTTTGTGGTATTTGGTGGAATGGCTGGTTAGTTTAAATCTTTCTTCGGAATTGTTTGTGGTATTTGAAGATCCAAAGGGGCAATTGAACTTTATGTTTACGATAAATATTAGTTTTGAATTCTAAACAGGAATGGTGGAATGATCATTGTTGAATTAAATACATGCTAACTTGAATTTCAAAATGATTTCTATGGCCAATAAGCATTCTGACAACAATTTGAACTTTTCTCCTTTATTTAATCAATGTGAACAGAAATCCGCATTATATTTCACCGGCAGCTAGACAACAAATGTTCTGAACCCCAACATGGTTTTATATACAATGATTTAATTGAAAATATTTATCCAGACCTCCATGATTATATACAAGCTACAATGAAAACAATATAATAAATAATTACAAAATGACGGAACATTAATATCCTTCTATCCCCTTTAAATATATAAAACAGACACCAAATTAAAAAGGACCATTCAAATGAAAAGAAGGGTTATTGATTTTTAGGTTATTCATAACAATTTTCATGTTTAAATATTGATAAAATATACAAAACTGGTTGTAGGTTTTTAAAATATAAATATTATAAAATACTGCATTTCAACAATTAGCTTTCCCTACCTTGAAAAAACCCAGCCTTTTGGTTTTAGAAAAGTCATATCCTCAACAACGATTTCTTTTCAAGACGGAAATTTGGCATTGTTATTTTAATAGTAGAGAACAGAAAGTGATATTTTTCCTTCTAAAATTTGAGTAAAGAGTTTTTTTTTATCAAAAAGAAATATCCAATTCAATTTATTTTTTTTTAAATCAATAAAACATGTGAGTTATGCCAGACGAAAATAAAAGAAGAAGAATTCATTCTCTTAATGTTAGAAATTTTCTTATTAATATTCGTAAAAGGAAAAATGATGACACTAGCATATAATGGTCTCTGATAAATATTGATATGACACCTGTTATACACTACATTTGACGTGTATGCCTTTATCTTTTACTTCTTTTTGTGTGCGATTGGTATTATGTGTTTCTATATTTGTGTAAATATGGTAATGTAGATAACTGCCAAAATAAAATAGAACAGTGAGATATGGCAGGTTTTATCTACCATCCGTTAACGAGTAACGTGGTCTACTTTCCTACCCTAACCGATGGCGTATGGCGTATGTTAAATGTAGGGTATGAAATTTTACTAAAATTCCCTTATAACTTGTACAATAATTTATAGTGGTGATTTTGTTATAAAAAAGCATTGGTCCACACTAAAGACTTTTTATCAAATGACCACATATTAAACCTTATTTACAAAATACAAAAATATCCAGATGGAGACAGGAAATGTAATTAATACATGCATGCCAGTTAATTCTTAATAGAAATTGGCCCCAGTGACAATTCTGATAGAATAATTAAAATTGGCCCCAGTGACAATTCTGATAGTAAAATAGAAATTGGCCCTAGAGAAATCAGCTCGAGTGACAATCAGAATGAAACTGACGTTGAAACACAAACGCTGTCTGGCCAACAGATCCAAGCCGAATATCTAACCAAGAAATCGGAACGAAAATTATCAGAACTTGCTGTAGGGGATAATGTCATTATACCAATTCCTCAGTATGATGCCCCAACTGATCATCGAAATATCTTAGATGTAATTATTGAATCTGGATAATATGGGTACCGCATTGGAACAGCTGTATGAATTTAACAGGATATTTGTCGAGAAATGAAATTGAAGGTGTTTCCGACACATCTTTATTCGCAGCAATGAACAATGAGCTTCAACTTTCGCTACTTAAAGCAGTTAAAACACTTAAAAAAAAACCGGTGTTCAGGGGTTTCTTTCATGTAAATGCAAAGGGGGATGCAGCACTTCTATATGTAAATGTAGAATGCAAAAGATGATGTGCAATTCCCGATGCCATAATTCATTCACATGCTCAAACAAATGATACAGAAGTTTTATTGTATTTTGTAAATATGGTTATTGTGTGGTCATTGAATAAAAATTCTATGGTGTGTTTCAATGCTTTTTTTATAACAAAATTCATATTATAAATTATTGTACAAGTTATAAGTGAATTGTAGTCAAATTTTGTACAAATTGTAGTTTGTACAAGCACTTTTTGTACAAATTTATAATTTGTACAATTTTATTGTACAAATTATAATTTGTACAAAATGACCACTTGTACACAACATATATATTATTAAAATAGTAAACATGTAGACAGATTACAATCAACATAACATTTTCCAATAGCTATAAGTGTGCTTTCTATATTTTGGAAGGGTTATTTCATACTGTATCTTTTCTATATATCTGTAAATGCATATTTATGCTTACTTGCAAACGTATTTCATGAACATGGTTAAATGGAAAAACAGACTATAGGTTTTATATCAATTAAAATTCTCAATAATCAATTGAAAACCCAGTGTTTTCCTAACGATTTTTGTTGTTCTATGTTGCAGTCTCATCGATTTATACTGACGTTTGTTCATTTAAAACAAGAAGATGTGATATAAATGCAAATGAGGCAAATTTCCATTAGAACCAAATGACATAGATGTAAAATATTTAATAGATAAGAGTTAACGTTGGACTGAGTTACTTTGTCATTGCTGAAGTTTTACTGTCATAGAGATTCTTTAAAATAAAAAGAATCAAACTTATAAGTCCATAGAAATCTACTAGACCTTTTTTTCTCATTTGCCTTAACATTGTATTATAGAATGGTAGAACTCCATTGCATTATGCTGTTAAAGAAAGACACAAGACTACAATCTCATTATTATTAGAGCGAGGCAGTGATCAAACTCGAAAAGACGAGGTATACTCTTGTACACTAAAGTGTGTGTTCTAAAATAGATAAACTATGTGGGGGTAAGATAGACTAATGTACAACACTGAAACAAATTCCAACAAGCGAAAATAAGGATTAAGATCTAAATCTCTCATGTTATGAATTATCTAATTTGTGAACTAGAAATGATCACAACTGCTTTCACTAAAATAGCATACATATTCACTGATTACCTTCGATATGCCTACTGTCAAATACTGCATTTGGCATGTAGGCATTGTCCAGTTAACGCTCATTTATGCGCGTTTGGTATTATCTGTTTATATATCTTTATAAATACGGTAACTGTTGATGACGATTTAAATAAAATAGGAAAATAGAGCAGTGAGATATTGACAGTTTGTGAGCAGTTGCAGTCTCTTCGCCTTGATGTTACTCTATTCCAACCGTCCGTGATGAGATTACATGAGTATTGCTGTCCGAACTTATTTGACCGACGTCGTATGATATATTTTCAAGGTTCTATATATACTAGTATAATGGTCAGCATGTACATAAATCACTTATAACATCAAAAATTAAAATAATTTGAATTATAAGTTTGCTATTGTCTTTATGTTTGAGTGGTTATTTCATTTCTGAATAGTTTTCAAATGCCCACTTTTGAATAGGTATACTTGGTAACAAACGTATTAAGTGTACATTGTGAAACGGAAAAAGTTATATCAAATACATGTCTAAACAAACACTTGAAAACTTGTGCATTCCTGTCGAGTTTGTTTTCTGTTATTTAATTTAAAATTACTAGTTATTCGTAATATTTCAGTTGATCTCTGTCGACATATAGATGTTTTATCGATGGGTCTCAATGAATTATGCTGACGTATGTTCATATAAAACAAGACGATGTGGTATGAATGCCAATGAGATAACTTTCCAGTAGAACCAATTGACATAGACGTTAAACTTTTAATAGATAATAGTTCACATCATCTGAAGTTACTTTGTGGCATCAAAAAAGATCATCTATTAGATATTTTGTCTTATTTACATAAATATTGTATTACAGTATGGTAGAACTTCATTGCATTATGCCGTTAAAGATGGATACTTGAACACAGTCTCAATGTTATTGAAGCATGGCAGTGATCCAAATATGAAGAACAAAGTATACTCTTTCATACTAGATTTTGTTTTTATAACACATACAATATGTAGGATATTCGAGACAAAGGCCCAAAAATACATCTCGAAGCTCTCTGAATCTATCTGACTAAAGGCATACATTGTGTTGTGTATTATATAAATGAAACACGTTCGCAGATAACTTTCATATCAAATATCGAAATAGCTTATATTATAAGTGTGACATTGTCATTTTTTGAAATAGTTAAATCATTTCTGACATACATATATTTAGGCATATTTAAAAACAAAAGTTTTCAATAAACAAGAAAAATAAATAAATTGATTGATTGATTTGGTGTTCAATACCCATTTCAGCACTCTTTGATATTTCATGGCGACTTGTTTGTATTGGATTTTGAAGCCGGAGTACCTAGAGGAAAAGCACCGACCTTCGGCAGCAAAACTGATAATCAATGTCATATCATAATTTATATCACATGAAATTCATTTGACAGTTACATCCAAATTACACAAATGTTATATTTCAGTATGGTAGAACCCCGTTGCATTATGCCGTTAAAGGTGGACACAAGAACATAGTCTCATTATTAATTAAGCGAGGCCTAGATCTAAATTTGCAGGACAAGGTATGCTATTTTTAACTAATTCTTTTTTTAATCAAACAATAATTAGGGTATAGGAGACTAATATCATTTTTTTTTATTTATCAGTTTGGTGGAACATCATTACATTGGGCTGCAGACTTTCGACACCCGGAGATATTCATAATATTGTTGAAGTCCGGCAGTGATTCATCAATAAAAAATATTTCGGTATGCCTTATGTAGATATTCTGTAATATTATATATGACATTATAATACAGAAAAGGGATACTAGGTAAACATGTTTGATAATATGCGTAATGCGTATGTACTTTGGAAGCATATTTAGTAACTTACTCATTTACATAATTTTAGAAAGGATAAGGTCATACAAAATCACAAGATATGTATATATTTATACCTCATTGCATTTTAAAGCCGGAGACCTGGACATTGTGTAGCAAGTCTTCCTAAATTGAATCGTAAATAAGTACCAATCAAATGGATAAATACCTACCTACAAAAATACGTACATACATACAGTGCAGGCGGAATTTTCACGATATCACAGAAGAACTTTTGTAACTGACGTTTATTTTGTTGGGCTTTTTATAGCTGACTAAACGGTATTGATTTTGCTCATTGTTGAAGGCCGTTTATTGACCTATAATCGTTTCAAGCAACTTCAGCTGGCCTCTAATATATTGTAGTTCCATTGGCAATCATACCATTTATCCTTATTTAATGTTGATGGAAGGAATAGATCTAAAAATATTGGGCTTAATTTCAGACTGAAGAGTCATAAATTTAGAGGATTGTCAAAGTTTTGATGTGCAATTTGAGTATTTTGCTTTCGATCAAAGCTTTTGCACCACAGTAAAAAACTTTAAAAAGAAATATTAAATTCATAAATAATGATGCGTCATCAATCGACTGAATAAGAAATGCACGCATTTAAAAATGATTCGAAGAAAAAAAAGGAGAGTCGAGATTTTGTATGTGAAAGGATATATAAGAAATAACAATCATGTACAAAAATATTTTACTAAAAGTTGATTTGACTTTTAAGACATTTTCTAAATATTGAAAATTATATGGATTACTTGGAAAACAAATGAACTCGTATGAAAAAGCCAGAGGATTCACACAATATGAAGGAAAAGACATGGCGATAGAACAGTGTTCTCTATTCGTTTATATCATCGTCATTTGGTCACTGGTGGATGTGCAATCATTCATCATCTCCGTATTTTTATACTCTAAGAAAAAATATTCTATTGAATGCTAAATACAAATTATAAGTCAAAGATCTGCTGAAATCAGCATGGCCAAAGAAATAACACAAAATAGTACACAACAAACAAAAATATTAAATCTATTTGGTGTGCTACAGGGAAAAACACCGTATGATAGATTGAAAGAAGTTCTTGGTGGTTCAGTTGACACTAAAGAACTAGATTTAGTGCTGGAGTCCGTGGAACTAATTATACAGGTAAATATGTAAATGCAATTTTTACTCCATAAAAAAATATTTACTATACGGACTTTATTAGCAGGGATGTGCTCCTTAAACAAAAACTGCTCTAATAGAGAATTGAGGAAAAACTGAGTGCGGACTCGCGTGACGGGTGATGCATATTACCATATCGAAGCATCCGATTGCTCCTTTCGGACTTCATGTCACTCTGTCTGTTTTGTTTGTTAACTTGATTTGTCTTTTTAATCGATTTAAGAGATTTGAACACCGGTAAAACACTGTTGCCTAAATTGACTATAATATACTTAACCACATACATATTATGAGTACAAACAATTGTGTAATGTCAAAGTTTTCAATTAAGTAAACACGGGGTATTAAACCACTCGTTGAGAGAAATGATATGGACTCCTTTGATCTTTTCCTGTTTCATCTTGACATCATTGCTTGACATCATAGACGACAAGACCTGTTCTAAATCATACTCAGAAAAGAGCCGCTTTAACTTATCTCATTAAGAACTGTTCTACACTAAGGCTGATATGGAAATTTCTACCCTATAACACATTTTTTAACTGGAACAGTTATGGACATTTCTACATTAAAACAGTTTATGACAGTTCTATCCTAAATAATGTTATATCAGTTCAACCCTAGAACTGATTTCGAACACTTCAGATCAGTTTAATGATTATATTTAAAATTTCTGAAAATAGGTTTGTAGCATTCAGTAACACGAGTGCTATTAGGAACTTCTTTGAACTTGTTGTTTTAAGTAATAATCAGATGTGTTGTTTACAATTCCAGTTTTTGTTTAACATTTGATTATATTATTATGCTTTGAACTCAGAATTGTTTTATTATTAAATCCGTTTTCTTAACTTAAATCCAGTTAACTTCTGACTTTATCGACGACAAAATTTTTCTTAATCATAATCATAGCTACTTTAATTTACATCATTGAAAACTGTTCTACAATACAACTAATGTTGACATTTCTACCCTAGAACATATCCTGACAGTTCTATATTACAACAGTTTTGGACAGTTTGCCATTAAAACAGTTTATGACAGGCCTACCTTAAAACTGTTTTGGACAGTGCTACCCTAGAACAGATTTTCAAAGGTCTATCACAGAACTATTTTACTCCATCAACTTATATATTTTAGATCCGTGCAAATATTTCATTTCATTGTGTAAACTTATTTAAATTAATTTTTTTCTAGGAAAAAGAAAACGAAAAACCAGAAACAGGTAATATTTATATTATGTATGGACTGCCGACCCAAAGAGCATATGGTCATCGCTCATTAAATTTTACAACGTTTACTTACTAATGGTAATCTACGTTGATTGACTATCATCATATTCAAAAGTAAATGTTAATGAGATTGAACTTTGCTATTGTTTACATCTGTTACGCCAGGTTATTTTTTTTTCTTGCTTCTGTGTACAAGCGTATCATATCGTTCTCGTCCTTTCTTTCTTCTCTGTACACCTGATTCGTCACGTTCCTGTTTTTTTAGCTTCTGTGCACATCGGATTTGTCACGTTGCTGTCTTTATTGCTTCTGTGTACATGGGATTCGTCACGATCTTGATTTGTTCTTGATTCTCTTAAGAAGTGTGTTATCTCGTTTGTGTCTTATCTTGCGTCTTTGTACATGATAATCGTCTCACAATGGTCTTTTCATGCATCTAGGTACACGTAAAATATTTCGTTCGTGTCCTTTCTCGCTTCTCTGTTCATATGATTCGTCACAATTTAATTTTTACTTGATTCTGTGCTATCTCTTCTTACGTCTTATATTTACTTAGTCTTTTCGTGCGAGCCTGTCTTGCTTCTCTTTACAACTTATCTTTTTGTGCTACTTTGTATTTGTGAGTCGTCTTGGTCGCGTCCTTTCTGTGTGCACCTGATTCGACACGTTCTGTGTTTTTTTTCTAATTCTGTGTACATATGAGTCATCTTGTTCATGTTCTGTCTTGCTTCTGTTATGCTTGCCTTTCATTAGCACCTGGATTTGACCCCATTGTTGGGTTCGTTTGCTCAATCGTTTCTGCATAGTGTATAGTGAATGTTTGCCTTCAAATATCGAATTTGTAGTCTACGATCTGTGTGTTTTTCTCCGATTGATGGTTTTTAATTGCCCTTTTGGTATTTTTTTTTCTCTATTCTATTCATGACTTCAGTTTGTAAACTCTATTTTCATGTAATAAATACATTCCAGTTGCACTTGCATATTGCGTATATTATATGTCGTTTACCTTCTTATCAATACGAATATTGATTTAAAGAAATATGTCGTTTTATAATTTTGGAAATCTTTTAAAATTCAGGAATACATCTTTCCCATGCAGAGCTCTGATTCTTCTTCCGGGTATCACTGTTCATTAAGGTCCCTTTTAAATATACCAGCTCTTTATGTTTGCATGATGGAACGAATAAAAGTTTTTTTTAATATTTTGGTAAGATTGTGAAAGCGACATTGATTATCAGAATGCACTTTTGATGCAGTAAAATAGGTACCGTTAATAGTGCTACTATCAAAGTTTTATCAAAAAAGCTCTTAAACAAAGTATTGCCAATAACTAAAGTGAAGTCATCTGGCTGACCATTATAGGTAACAGGAGACAGTAGCCATGTTCCATTTATCATAACAGCAATCCCGTTCTTATGTCCTTGTTTATGACCAAATTCGTCTTTTCCTCGAATTTGTAATACTTATGAGCGATATGGAATATTACGCCATATCTGCTAACCCGTCTGGAACATATTAGGTCACTCTTTTGGTTAGTTGGGGTTTGTGTTGCTCAATCTTTACGTTGTGTGTTGTTGTGCAGTCTGTCGTTTGTATTTTTGCCTGGCCATTTTTTGTCCTTCTTTCTCTGATATTGTGTTGTTGATTGTCCCATTGGATCTCTCTTACTTTTATTAAATTCCATATCCAATTTAAGTTTTACATTATTTATTTGGATAATAATAACAAATAATTCAGACTTTATAATGCCATTTATATTTTGCATATTATCTAGTCAATAAAATTGAGAATGGAAATCGGGAATGTGTCAAAGAGACAACAACCCTACCAAAGAGCAGAACACAGCACAAGGTCACTAATGCAATGGGTCTTCAACACAGCGAGAAAAAAGTTTGCATTTTAAACTGATAGATAACAGAAAGACCTTAAACAATTAAAAAAAAACCAACTCTTTAATGAGACAAAGAATTCATGAACAACGACAAGAAGTTGTACTTAACATACTTTTTGTTCTTTTTTTCAATACAACAACTCACATTCAGTATATGATCGTATACATTCGAATTTATGAAATATTTTTGTATGTACTTATAACACAGTTATGCATTGTACAATTTGAAAGCTTGATGTTGTATATCTTAAGAGTCATATTAAAATTTGGACCATTCGCGTTTGGTCATGACTATGAGCGTTTACTATATGGTTCAACCATATGTGTATGGTAAAACAATTTGAGTACTGTGGATTCATTATTATTCGTTGGATACAATTTTCATGGTTTTCGTGGGTACTGGGGAACCACGTATTTAAATGTTCAACGAATTACACATTTTCTATAGTTTTTGTATGCAGAGATTGGCGAAACCACGAAATCAAATATTCAAGAAAATGCAAGTTTTCCTCAATCCACAAAAAATTAATACCCACGAAAATAAATGAATCCACAGTATGTTCTCTTTTGACACTCTTCCTACATCTTTTTTATTACTAACTGTAACGTCTATGTTATGTAGACACATACGTTTTGATGTTGTATTTATATTATGTCATAGGTCAAACTTATTCGTTCAGTGTATGTTTACTTGTTTTTAATTAAATATCTTTTTGATTGAGTTAAACCATTCCAAGTGATATTTTATAGTGTTTGTTTTTTATGTTGTAATGTTACACTACTCTCTCAGGTTAGGGTGTCGTTGGCACTAGTTAAAACGTTTAAACCCGTTGCATTTTTATGCACCTGTCCTAAGTCAGGAGCCTGTTGTTCAGTGGTTGTTGTTTGTTGGTGTGGTTCATAGGTGTTTCTCGTTTTATATAGATTAGACCGTTGGTTTTCCTGTTTGAATTGTTTTACACTAGTTATTTTGGGGTCCTTCATAGCTTGATGTTCTGTAGAAGGCACGGCTCCTTGTTGAAGGCCGTACTTTGACCTATAATTGTTATTTTTTTATACATTGAACTTGGATGGAGAGTTGTCTCATTTGCACTTATACCACATCTACTTATTTATATTGTTTAGGTATTTACCGGCTTACTGTTTTGTCCTTTTTGGATTATAGCTCTTCATCTTTTAAAAAAGCTTAAGTTTGGTTCCGCTCCGCTAATTTTTGTCGTAATAATGGGTTTGGTCTTTTTGTCGAGCTGCGACATTTATTTCGCGAAAGCGAGACATAGCAATCCTAGATTCCGTCGTCGGCGTTGGCGTCAGCGGCTGCAACAATTACTTTCAGTCTGTGGTTTTTTAGACTTTAATAACTTTGTCAAACCTTTTTGGAATTTTAGAAAATGTGTACAGAAGGTTGTTTACGACCAAATACAGTATCCAGGGCCAATTTTGAAAAATTAATTGCATTTTTCCGTATTTTACCGATAAGTGGACTTAGTTTTTTTAACAGTTAAGATTTAGTCTGATTTTCAAGCTTTTCAATCATCAATAACCTTGTCAAACTTTACTGGAATTTTAGGAAATTTGTACAGAAGCTTGTGTATGACAAAAAAGACAGTATCCAGGGCAAAATATTGAAAATATTTATTTTCATTTTTCCATATTTTACTGATAAGTGGACATAATGTAGATTCAGTTTTAGGTTAACGTTTTTAAGTCACGAATACATTTGTCAAACCTTCATGGTATTAATGAAATTTGGACAAAAGCTTGTTTAACATTTACGGACAGTCTGGGGTTAAACTTTTTTGACATGATAAATTTGTAAACTTTCACGAAATACTGTGAAACTTGGTCAGAAGCTAATCTTCAAGAAAAAGAATTCAAAGAAGAGAAAATTCTGTATTTTACTGATAAATGAACTCGCTTTTTAGTCAACAATACACTTTAACACTGACAGCAGCAATTACAGTCGAGACACAGTGTTCCGTTGAACCCCTTACGATGTTCTTTCAACAGTGTCATATATTGAGCTAATTTTTGGTATGTGAGTCTACTATGATGAGTTACAGATCAAGTTAACGTTTGGTTTAGCTCAGTTGACATTTTTAAAACTACGGGTTTTGAATTTTGTAAATTTACACTTCTATAAATGGGTTCAAGATTTTTTTAAGATATGGCCTATTCGTGTCGATCCGACACATTTAGTATTTTAAAACTATTTTTTATGACAACTCATATATACCTATATGGTCTTTTTTATAACGACCATACTCATATGGTCCGGAACGTATAAATATTTAGATATAGCAAAAATAATCATACTGAGAAAGTTTTATATACAAATGTTTAACACTTTTTTCAATAGCTAGAGTCTTAAAGGAATTGAGAGGACTTGGTTTGGAAACAATTTCCGATCTGCAGGAAGTGCTCAAACTTGGCCAATTTAAATGCTACTGGAACAGAATATATCTTGTGGGGCCTTATAACTCAGGCAAGAGCTGTCTTGCAAAAATTCTAGTCGGCGAACCAATTCCAAAAGAGCGAGAATCAACTGATGGAATATGGATATACATTGGAAGGGCTGGCATGGACTTAGAGAAAACACAATGGATGTGTTTTCCAAAAGGTAAAGCTGCTGAATTTATAAGGAACAAATAACATTCTGTTTCTAATAAAAAGGGGGAAAAGATATAAGGGGCATAAGAAAGACTGCATCATGGCACAAAGAAAATCGACAAACAAAATGACAGTCCACAAAACACCACACAGAATACTAAACACTTTATATATTCAACGTGTTTTTCATGTCAGGTAAAACATTAGCGATACGTTTTATTCCGTTACACAAGCAATTTAAAATCGTACTAAATGATAGATAGTCCATATGACGGCGGAGGAAAAAAAATAAATGGGAATTTTTTTCACAAATCGTTAAACCTATACAAGATCCATGAAATTATAACTTTAAAATTTAGGTAGATTTTGCTGAGGTTTATGTAAGACAATAAATCAAACGTCACCAGTGTCAGAGCAGACAGTTGATGAACCAAGGGTATTTCAAAGAACGTATCGTCCTTTTTCATCGGAAGATACCAAGACCTTGTTGATAAATATTCTGTATTAACTTCACAAATAATACAGGATGGTCTTGGAGTGTAGATTCTAGGTACCGACGTTGTTTATCATCTTAATAACGTTTTATAGTATTCTTTTCTTTGTCTTTGTGAACATTACTTTTACTGTTTAGTAATTTTTTTGTAATGTCCATTTGACTTGGCTCGGTACATATTACATCCCGTCATTGTGTTGTTGTGCTATGGTGAGTTTTTGTATTTTTGTCTTTCGTTTTTGCTGGTGTGTTGTGTCTGTATGCCTTTAATTTTGTGTTTCTTTGTTGACATATTTGTTTGTCTTTATAGTGATTAAGATTATAACACAATGTTGACTGCTGTACCCCTTTTTTTGCTCGCCTGACCTGATTGAGCTTTTCTCATCACTTGGCGTCCGTCGTCCGTCGTAGTCGTCGTCGTCGTCATCCGTCGTCGTCGTTAACTGTTTACATTTCGAACTTCTTCTAGAGAACCACTAAAAGGAATGAAACCAAACATGGCATGAATATTCTTTATGAGGTGCTGACAAGTGTAATTACTTTGCAGCCGATCCATCATCCGAGATGGCCGCCAGCGGGGGACTTCGTTTAACATTGGACCCTATGGACAATACATACAAATGTCTTCCTTTAGAGAACCACCAAATGGAATGAAACCAAACATAGCATGAATATTTCTTATAAGGTGTTGACCAAATGTTGTTACTTTGAAGCCGATCCATCATCCAAGATGGCCCACAGAGAGGGACTTAGTTTAACATAGGATCCTATGGGAAATACATACAAATGTCTTCTTTTAGAAAACCACTGAATGGAACGAAATCAAACATGGCATGAATGTTCCTTATGATGTGCTGACCAAGTGTTGTTTTTTTGTAGCCGATCCATCATCCAAGATGGCCACCAGCTGGGGACTTCGTTTAACTTAGGACCATATGGACAATAAATACAAATGTCTTCATTTAGAAAACCATTGAATGGAATGAAACCAAACATGGCATTAATGTTTCTTATGAGGTGCTGACCAAGTGTTGTAACTTTGAAGCCGATCCATCATCCAAGATAGCCGCCAGAGAGGGACTTAGTTTAACATAGGACCCTAAATGAAATGCATACAAATGTCTTCTTTTAGAGAACCACTAAATGGAATGAATTAAAACATGGCATGAATGTTCCTTATGAGGTACTGATCAAGTGTTGTAACTTTGTAGACGATCAATCATCCAAGATGGCCGCCAGCGGGGACTTAGTTTAACATAGGACCCTATGGGAAATACATACAAATGTTTCTATTTAGAGAACCTCTGAATGGAATGAAACCAAACATGGCATGAATGTCCTAATAAAGTGCTGACCAAGTGATGTTACTTTGTAGCAAATCCATCAACCAAGATGGCTGCCAACGGGGGACTTAGTTTAACAAAGGACCCTATGGGAAATATATACAAATGTCTTCTTTTAGAAAACCGCTTAATGGATTGAAACCAAACGTGGTATGAATGTTTCTTTTGAGGTGCTGACCAAGTGTTGTTACTCTGTAGCTGATTTGTCATTGTCCTTATAAAGTCATTTTCTACAATTTCAATGAATTTATTGGTAATTTCTGTAAACTTTACAAAAGGCTTCTGCTTTTGATTAAATTACGGGGCCAATATTAAACCAAATTTGGCCTCAATCAATATTAGTGTATCTGTTATGATTTTAATCTATTTTTATATGATTTCCAAAACCAAAGTAGAATCAGGTGAGCGACACAGGCTCTTAAAAGCCTCTAGTTACCTATTATGTCTTTTTGTTTTGTTCACACATCGTTGTCAATATAATTGAATTTTATGCGACTGTCATACAAGTGAGAGGTTTAGATAGCTATAAAACAAAGTTTAATCCACCATTTTCAACATAAGAAAATGCCTGTACCAAGTCAGGAATATGACAGTTGTTATCCATTCGTTTGATGTGTTTGAGCTTTTTATTTTGCCATTTGATTGGGGACTTTCCGTTTTGAGTTTTCCTCGGAGTTTGGTATTTTTGTTATTTTACTTTTTTTAAAACATGGATTAGATTACATAATTATCCCTTTCATTTGATGAGTCGTTCAGGATGGTTGGTGTAGGTTGCTGTCAGTCATGTTAGTTATTCGTTTATTGTTTTATCATAAATAAGGCCGTTATTTTTCCCCCGTTTAAATTGCTTTTACATTTTACAATTACTAAGCAGAATGCTAAGTACATTCATAGACGATCATGAAAATGGTGGACTTAATGCATCAGTTTTTTTATGGATTCCGAAATTACAAATGTCCTTACATACAACGTTATGTTTTACTATAATTTCTAATTGTCCCTCGCGTTACCGGTTGCGGGGAACATGGAAATACCGGGTGTCTGTTTGTCCGTCCGTCCGTCCGTCCAGTCTTGTTAGTGCTCTCACAGGAACAATTCTTGCCAGATTTTTATAAAACTTATAAAATAGGTTAATATCAGCAATATCTCGGACACGTTCTACAATGGTGGCCAATCGACTTTTTTAAATAGAGTTATGCAACTTGGAAATATTAAAAATTATAGAAAATGGCCTCGTTAGCGCTCTCACGTGTACAATTCTTGCCATACTTTTATAAAACTTATACTATAGATTAATATCAGCAGTATCTCGGACAAGTTCTATAATGGTGGACGATCGACTTTTTTCAAAAGAGTTTGCCCCTTGGAAATATAAAATATGTGCAAGACAGGGGACATTGGAACTCTGTTCTTTTATTGACAAAGAGAGTCGAACGATACCTAAGGGATATTCAAACTAATAAGCCACAAACAAAAAACGAAAAAGACGAAAAGACAATCAACAGTACACAAAACACAACATAGAAAACTAAAAACTGAGTAAAATGAACCCCCACCCCAAAAAACCGGTGATGTTACTTGATGGAATGTTGGCTGAATGGTCTGCATGGTCTAGGTAGTTCATCTATTTGTACGCTAGCATGTCAACATTAGGGTTTTGAGTTCGAATTCTACACCTTGCAGGTGACTAGGATTTCCGGATTTCTTTCCGAAGGTTTTTTAAGAAAACACCGGTTTCCATCATTAACCAATACTACTGAAAGTGGCGTTAAACACTACCAAGTAAATTAATCAATCCAATTGCTACTCAAAAACTATATTTCAAAGTGTTAAACTTCAATACTTCAATGCCAAACATCAAATGTGTAGGAAATTGGTCAAGTTCTACCTGCAGTGATGTGAATATAATGAGTATATTCGTTATTATTCATTCATTGTAAACACTATCGTAAGACCCAAGCGTAGTCATGGTAAAAAACATTACCATCGTTCAAATGTCAAAAAAAGTCTACCAAATCTATATCACTCGCTGGCAGCTTTGATGAACTTCTTTCACATCTCCATCATCTGCTTGGATTACATAACATCCGTTCCATTCTTTTATCAATGCCTGTAGGTGTAATACCACCAAATCATAGTACGTCACATCCGGTTGCATACGAAAAAGGGTCAAACAAAATATTCCCTTAAATTTGATAGTTGTAGGAAATTAATCCTACATCTCACAGCAGTAAAATTTCTGAGTCATATACATATATCTTTGGTATTTCAAAGCACCATTATTTTTTATTTGGTGTCTCTATAGAATGTTTTGGAAACTTCAGGTTATATGGTTACTAAAGCTGGTAAACAGGAAAAAAGGGGTGAAAATTTGATTGTTTAACTTCCAGTGATGGTTATTTTCTTATATGCAATGAAATGTTATGTGAAATTTTGTCTGTAGTACTGGACAGGATAAAACTTTACTCATGTCAAGTATTTCTTTTTTTGAAACAAAGATAAATTCTGCACAAGTTTTTGAAAAGTGCAAATTTAACAAAGACTAATAGGGGAAATCAATGGTGGTATTACACCTATTATGGGAAGCTGCACGTGCACCTTTCACCTTGTGTGTACTCTCAACTGTTAACATTTCATGCTATTTTAGTGAAATATTACAATCAAAGCATCGTTGATGTTGTGATCCAGCCATATTCATAGCTAGTCTCATATTCTTTCTGACCAAACTTTTTCTCAAATTTTTTCTCTATCCATTTCCAATCTTACTGTAAAATTTCTATGTTATTGTCATACGGTTGCGGAATTTCCCAATATTGATGCAAATATAAATATATATACTGATCTTTCAATTTTAGACTCTGTCAGATTTTATTTTTGACAAGAATGGAAAGGAAAATCCTCAACCAAGAAAGAGGCCTTATAAATGCACTTTCTCAACAACAATAATAAAAAAAAATAATAACTATTTTTTATCGAAATTGGTGTTCATTCTTTATTAAGAAAAAATACATTTCCTATATTCAAATCTGAATGTACAAATACCTAATGCTGAGATATTTCCAATTACTGTTAAAAAGCAATACAATGGGATATAAATGTAAAACAAACAAATACATTTTATTGCAGAAAATTCTCAGGTCAGAGTTATGCAATTTTGTTTTAATATTTCAACCA